GCATTTAGATTGACATTACTGATTTATTCTCTCTCATTTAAACTTAGAAGGACACAACCACATCACTAATTATTCCATTTTCTATCCTAAGGAGCATGAATTATAAAATAAATATAATAGTCTCTGAACAAAAGATTCATTGTCTTTGTGTTTTAGTTGAGAGTTGTTCTAGTTTTCCATAGATATCAAAACTCCTGAATTTATTTAAAAACACTGAAAAACACTCTCACCCATGTAATACATATTGTTTACATAATAACATAATAAAGGAGAAAATGAATTAATCTTTGGATTAGATTTTGTATGTTACATATATCTTGTGAATATTTAATTTTTTAATGTAAGCCTAATATTTTTGAAATAAGATTACCAGCAAAGTAATGCTCTAGTACAACTTCATGTAATATGTTGTGGAAAATTTAACACATGAAGCTCTTACCAAGCTTTTCTTTTTCATTCTTCGTGTGTGTGTGTGTTTTTTTGTCTGTGTGCAGTTAATACTTCCCTGCCTGTATTGGTGGATAAAAAGGCTGTGCTCTCTTGCTCTACTGTCCCATTGAAAAATGTGCTTTTAACAACATGGGAAATAATCCTCGGAGACAAGCCTCCCTGCATCAGAGCCCACAGGAGAGATAAACATGAGGCCACAAAAACAAACTGTACTGACAGGAGAATGACCTGGTTCTACAGAAATGAACAGAATATCCTTCAGATTGATCCAGTGGTCATCACTGATGATGGCTATTACAGGTGTCAAGCGGTAACACCCGATGGGAATTTCCATTATGGATATCAGCTCCGAGTGTTAGGTGAGAAACATTATACATTGTGGTGTTTCAGATAACCAGATTTGGGGCTGAAAGAAATGTCTCTCTAAAACCCATATCGAATGTGTTAGGACTAAAGCATTTTCCCCTCCATCTCTGCAGTGGCCCCTGAGGTGACCCTGTCTCCAAGCAAGAATAGGACTGCACTGTGCAAGGCAGCTGCAGGGAAGCCGGCTGCCCAGATCTCCTGGACCCCAGAGGGAGACTGTGTCCTTGAGCATGAATATTGGGGCAATGGCACAGTGACTGTCCAGAGTAGATGCCACTGGGCAGAGAGCAATGTGTCTATTGTGTCCTGCTCTGTCTCCCATGAGACTGGCAACCGGACTCAGTCCATAGAGCTGAATCAAGGTAAGCACCTGTTTCTTTACAAGTAGTGAACTTGATGCTCAACCTTTTCTTCCATAGAAGGTTATGAATTAAGCAAACATAGGTAAAGAAATCTTGAAGTCCTAATTTGTAGATATTCTCTAAAACTTAACTAGGAAATGCATTAGTATGCTAGAGAAATTGTCTTCTTTTATGAAATAGAAGGAATTAATTTAATAATCTCTTACCAGTATATTCTCTAAGTATCTTTTAGTGTGGCAGCTGTGAAAATATTATTTGCTAGCTTAGTGATCTATAGGCTTTTACTTTGAGATCATTTCTTGTAGTGGTCACCACTTCGTTACCCTGAGTAAGAGACNATAGGCTTTTACTTTGAGATCATTTCTTGTAGTGGTCACCACTTCGTTACCGAGTAAGAGATAAGTTTTCCCTCTCACTCTTTGGTCATCTGAAACCAGTTTATCAATTCATTCACAAAATATGTGTTAAATGTTATTTATATGTTTAAAACTGGTAATACAGCCTTGGCCCGTGTGGTTCAATGGTTAGAGCATTGGTCCACACACCAAAGGGTCTTGGGTTCGATTCCCGGTCAAAAGCACATACCTGGGTTGTAGGTTCAATCCCCTGCTCGAGGCAACTGATAGATGTGTCTCTCTCACATCGGTGTTTTTGTCTCTCCCTCCCCCTCTCCCTCAGCCCTTTGCACTCTCTCTAAAAATCAGTGGAAAAAATCTCCTTGGGTGAGAATTAAAAAACAAAAACAAAACAAAACTGGTAATACAAAAGTGAAAAAACAAGGTTCATTTCCTCATATTGTTCCAGGGAGTGCAATCTGGTAGTTAGGAACAAAGCCTTTGGCATAATATGGCTTCTCATTTAACATCAGTGTGACCTTGAACAATATTTAATTTCTCTGTCTCATGATCTGTACACCTGCTAAAGGAGGGTGATGATACTGCCTCATAGAGTTATGTGTTAATTAAATATAATAATATTTAATGTTTAATATAGTGCCCAACACATAGTTGGTACTCAATAAATATTAGCTACTATTATATTAGCTACTATTATTAGCTACTATTATTATTATTAGCTACTATTTATTATATTTAAAAATATTAATTATTAATGTTAATAAGTGTTAGTTCTAATATTTATTATATTAACACACATGAGCTATTACACTTGTTATTAAAATTATCATTAAAAATCATTGTAGCTGGAAACACAGCTTTGTTTTGGGCCTGGTTCCTTCACAGCTATTTTCTGTCCAACTAAACAGCCTCTTGAAGACAGGAGCCAACCAGGGCTTCATTGGAGGTTGAAATTGGGCAAAGATAAGACACCGATTTAGATGGGTATTCTTTTTTAAAAATTATTTTTATTTTTAAAAATTTATTTATTTTTAATTAAATGTATTAGGGTGACATTGGTTAATAAGATCATATAGGTTTCAAGTGTATATTAATATGATACATGATCTGTATTTTGCATTGTGTGCCCACCACCCAAAGTCAAATCATCTTTCCTCACCATATATTTGTCCCCTTTTACCCTTTACTGCCCCCCCAACACCTTCCCCCTTGTAATCACCATGCTGTTGTCTGCGTCTATGAGTTTCAGTTTTATATCCCACATATGAGTGAAATCATATGGCTCTTAGCTTTTTCTGACTGACTTATTTTGCTTAGCAAAATACTCTCAAGGTCCATCCATGTTCTCGCAAAAGACAGTAATTCATCTTTTCTTATGCCTGAGTAGCATTCCCTTGTGTTCAGGTACCACATCCCTTTATCCAGTCTTCACTGAAGGGCACTTTGGTTGTCTCCATGTCTTGGCCACCGTGAATAATGCTGCAATGAACATGGGGGTGCATGCATCTTTGCAAGTAAATGTTTTTTCTTTTTTCGGCTAGATACCCAGAAGAGGGATTGCTGGGTCATATGATAACTCTATTCATTTTTCTAGTGTTACTTTTATTTTTTCAAGTTTATCTTCATTGTTGAAAGTATTACTGATGTCCACTATTTTTCCTCTTTGACCCCTTCTACGCTGCACCTGCCCACCCCACCCCTCACCCCAGCCCTTGGCCTTCACTACACTATTGTCTGTGTCCATGGGTTATGCATATAAATTCTTTGGTTAATCTCTTCCCATCCCCACCTTCTCTCTGAGATTCGTCAGTCTTTTCCATGCTTCTGTGTCTCTGGATCTATTTTGTTCATCAGATTATTTTGTTCTTTAGATTCCACATATAAGTGAGGTCATGTGATACTTGTCTTTCTCTGACTGGCTTATTTTGCTAGCATAACACTCTCCAGGTCCCTCCATGCTGTCCCAAAGGGCAAGAGAGCCTTCTTTCTTACAGTTGCATAGTGTTCCATGGTGTGAATGTCCCACAGCTTTTTTATCCACTCATCTACTGATGGGCACTTGGGCTGTTCCCAGACCTTAGCTATTGTAAATTGTGCTGCTATGAACATAGGGGTACATATGTTATTTCTGATTGATGTTTCAGGTTTCTTAGGGTATATTCCTAGAAGTGGGATCACTGGGTCAAATGGCAGTTGTATCACCTCACACCTGTCAGAATGACTACCATCAACAAATAAACAAATGACAAATGCTAGCAAAGATGTGGAGAAAAAGGAACTCTAGTACACTGCTGGTGGGAATGCAGACTGTGCAGCCACTACGGAAAACAGTACGGAGTTTCCTCAAAAAATTAAATATTGTAACTCTATTCTTAAGTTTTTGAGGAACTGCCTTGCTGTTTTCCATAGTGGCTGTACCAGTGTACATTCCCACCAGCAGTGAGAGAGGGTTCCTTTTTCTCCACAGCCTCTCCAACACTTGTTATTGCTTGTCTTGTTGATAACAGCCACTCTAACAGGTGGTCTCTCATTGTAGTTTTGATTTGCATTTCCCTAATCGCTAGTGAAATTGAACATCTTTTCATATATCTGTTAGCCATTTGTATGTCTTGTTGGGAGAGGTATCTATTCAGGTCCACTGCTCACTTTTTAATTAGATTGTTTGTTTGGTGTTGAGTGGTATGAATTTTATATGTATTTTGGATATTGAAGTCTTGTCAGAGCTGTTGTTTGCAAATATTCCCTATTCTGTTGATTGTCTTTTCATTCTGTTGTCATTTTCTTTTGCTGTGCAGAAGCTTTTTAGTTTGATATAGTCCCGTTCATTTATTTTTGCCTGTACTTCCCTTGCCTTTGGTGTCAAATTCATAAAATGTTCTCTGTAACTTAGGTCCATTAGTTTAGTACCTATGTTTTCTTCTATGTAATTTATTGTTTCATATCTTATATTTAGGTCTTTGATCCATTTTGAATTAATTTTTGTACATGACTTTACTTTCATTCTTTTGCATGTAGCTTTTCAGTTTTCCCAGCACCATTTATTGAAGAGGCTTTTTTTCTCCAGTGTGGTACTTCTGGCTCCTTTTGTCAAAAATTGTTTGCCCATATACATGTGATTTATTTCTGGGCTCTCAATTCTCTTCCATTGATCTATGTATCTTTTCTCTGCCAACACCATGCTGCTTAGATTCTCGAAACTCTAGTATAATTTGAAGTCAGGTAGCGTGATACTTCCAGCTTTGTTCTTTTTTCTTGGCATTGCTTTGGCTATTCAGGGTCTTTTGTGGTTTCATGCAAATCTGATGGGTTTTTTTGTTCTCTTTCTTTAAAAAATGACATTGGGATTTTGATGGGGATTACATTAAATCTATATATTTCTGTGGGTAATACAGCCATTTTAACTTTGTTGATTCTTCCAGTCCTCGAACACAGAATATCTTTCCACTTCATTCTGTTATTATCAGTCTCTTAATAATGCTCTGTAGTTTTCAGTTTATAGGTCCTTCACAGCCTTTGTGAAGTTTGTTCCTAGGTATTTTATTCTTTTTGTTGCATTTGCAAAAGGAATTGTTTTTCTATTTCTTTTTCTGAGTTTTCATTGTTAGTATACGAGAAAACAGTGGATTTTTGTACATTGATTTTGCATCCTGCAACTTTACTGTATTTGTTTATTGTTTCTAATAGTTTTTTGGTGGGGTCTTTAGGGTTTTCTACATACAGAATCATGCCATCTGCAAAAAGGGACACGTTTACTTCCTCCTTCCCTATTTGGATGCCTTTTAGTTGTTTCTTGTGCCTGATTACTCTGGGTAGGACTTCCAGAACTATGTTGAAAAAGAGTGGCCAGGGGGCCCTGTGGGTTGGAATGTCGTCCCATACACCAAAAGGTTGGAGGTTCCATACTCTGTTGGGGCACATAGAGGAGGCAACTGATGGATGTTTCTCTCTCTCTCTCTCTCTCTCTCTCTCTCTCTCTCTCCCTTCCTCTCTCTTTAAAATCAATAAAAAACATATCCTTGGGTAAGGATAAAAAAAAAAAGAGTGGTGAGAGTGGGCAGCCTTGTCTTGCTTCTGATTTTAGAGGAAAAGTTTTCCAGTTTTCACCATTGAGTATGATATTGGCTGATGGTTTGTCATATGTGGCCTTTATTATGTTGAGGTACTTTCCTTCTATACCCATTTGATTGAGTGTTTTAATCATAAATGGATGTTGCACCTTATCAGATGCTTTTTCTGCATCTTTTGATAAGCTCATATGGTTTTTATCATTTGATTTTTAAATGTGGTATATTATGTTGATCAATTTGCTCATGTTGAACCATTCTTGTGCCCCTAGAAGGAACCCCACTCGATCACGATGTATTATTTTTTTTAACATACAGTGCTGTATTCGATGTGCTAGTATTTTTTTTAGGATTTTTGCATCTGTATTCATCAGAGATATTGGTTGATGGTTTTCTTTTTTTGTGCTGTCCTTGCCAGGTTTTGGTATCAGGGTATGTTGCCTTCATAAAATGTGTTAGGAAGTACTGTCTCTTCTTCAATTTTTGGGAAGAGTTTGAGAAGGATAGGTATCAAATTATCTTTGAATGTTTGATAGAAATCTACTAGTGAAGTCATCTGGTTCTGGACTTTTATTTTTTGGGAGGTTTTTGATGGTTGTTTCAATTTCCTCACTATTTATTGGTCTATTCAGATTTTCCAATTCTTCATGATTCAGTCTAGGAAGGTTAAATATTTCTAGGAACTTACCCATTTCTTCTAGGTGATTGAATTTGGTGGCATTAACTATATTTGAATTCTAATCTGAAAGGTGTTTTGATTATGATAATCTGAATTTTTGGGAATATTTTAAAGGGTTCTTTTAAGCTAGCGGCTCTAATTTGCTTATTAGAAGAGCCCTTGAAATGACCTTTTACCCCTGCCTGTGCTGCCTCTGTTTAAAGGTGTGAGAACCACGGTATTTCCAGTGTCATATTTATTGATCATGCTCTATGTGAAATCCTCTGTTTTCTTGGTTATCCTGGTCATGGTGGGAATCATCTGCTTTCAGAGGATGAATGGTTGCAGGTAGGAACTGAATACTGAAAAATATAAACTCATTAGAAAGCAGACATCATTGTAAAACTTTGAGTTTGCAATGTTCTGGGGAAAGCTTGATCCTTTTTGGGGGGGGCATATTTTGTTTGTTCCCTTGGCCCCTTTTCTGACATAAAAACTTTTTTAACAACTGAAAGCCCAGGCAGAGGTGGGAGGGCTGGAACTATAGCTTCTGCTTTATTGTAGTTTTCCCCAGGAGATACCTATCCCAGACCACCGTTTGAGAATTCCATGGGGGACACCTTAAGTGTTTACTTCCCAGTTTCCCTACTTTGGAAGGTTTGCATTTATTCCTGGGTAATTGTATATTTTATGTTTTTTCCTAGAGCACGAAAATAAAAACTCTGGAAATCAATATAAATTTGATGAGATATCACAAAAATGCAGCCAGTTGGAATCAGCCTTGGAGGTCAACATCTAGCTCAACTGCTCCTGTTACTCTTTGATACCTTTGTGTTTGTGAGAATCAATGTAATAGCTTGCAAGGCCTGTTTCAAGCTCTTTATATATATATTCAAAGGCTTGCTGTCTGCCATCGTACATGTCTAGGATGACTCATCTTCTTTCCTCTTTGCTCTAGTGAGTTTTCTTTGAAAATGAGAAACTACCCTGCTTCTCATGCTAAATAGGAAGATGACACAGCAAAAGCCAAGTAGCAATGCTGTGCAGTTTTCCTGCAGCCCCTTGGGTTCTTTAGACATCACTTTCATCCTAGTGCAGCAATTTTCAACCCGTGTGCCACGAGAATTTTAAGACACACAATAACTATTTAGTCAGAGGCACTGACCTCTTTTCCCTAAGACTGTCCAATAAAAAAATGACAACAACCAACACTACAATAGCAGTCCAGTGTGAATGAATTGAAATTATACCTATTTTTTTTTGCCAGATCGGCAACAAATATAATTATTTTTTGGTGTGCCACAGAACTTTAGTAATCGGTTTACGTGGCTCTGAGATGAAAAAGGTTGAAAATCATGATCCTACCTGTTCTGCCCTCTCAAGATGCTCTTCAATGTTGCAATGGCAGGAGCCGCTACAGACACTGCCTTCTGACTTCCCATCCCCTGCCCCTTGGCTTGCTGGCAATTACTGGGGCAGCTCTATTTCAAGTTTAGACTGCTCACTGAATAAATGGCCAGGAGTTATTTCTAGCAGTATGTGCATTTCTGAAGAAATTATAAGTTGATCCCAAATAAGGAGCTATTAGAGTCGTTGGAGGCAGAGCTGAAAATCACCTTGCCACAGCTCCAGTGTCTCAAGTCTCTCAGTTCTCTTTTATCTGCCTTCCAGGTTGGAATAGATTAATGGTGGTGAGAATAATCATGCTTAATGAAACCCTAACATCTTCCAGGGCCACTGTAAACTGAAACCCTCTCTTCACTAATACATGCGGCAATCCTATAGTAAAAAGTGTTCTTTTATTTAAAGGAAAAACTTTTTATGTAAATTGGCAGGTGATTTGGAATATTATTTTTATTTTTAGCAAAACTTTAAGGGAGGAAATTAATGATACTATTTGGAGGATACTATATAAGTAGGATAGTGTAAGTGTTGAAACAAACAGCTGCAAAATCTCAGTGTATTTATAGCACAGAACGTTAATTCTTGCTCATTTCATATTCCAGTGCAGATTGCTGAGGCTAGGGCAGGGGGCAGGAGTAGTTCTCTCAGCTAGCATTTTATCCTATGGCTCTGCCCTTCTCAGAGTTTTTCCCATTCAGCTGGTGAATGGGGGGGGG